CAGGAGTCAGAGATGAAATCCTCAGAGCCTGCTAGACTACGTGGACTTTATCCTGGAGGCTAGCTGAATCCAACTGAACAATGTTGACAGGGAAGTGAAGTGATGCATTTACACTTTAGAAAACTCCTTGGGGATTTGATGGGGGATGTGTGCAGAACTGAGCCAAGAATGAGAGCAGGAAATCAGGGAGCAGAGGATGGCAAGGTTTCAGGGGAAGAGGCAGAGGGGAGATGAATTCCAAATGACACAACAGGCGGACTCTACAGGACATGGTGAGGGACTGCCCTTGAGGGAGAAAATGAAACATCTGGAATGATTTTTTCTTGTCTTGATTATTTATCATGGTAACAATAATGGAAAAGGTTCATGTAGGAGGGAGAGTAAGTTTGTGTGAAGATTAATCAAATTTTGAACTTGGTGCATGTGAAATATTTGCACAGTATTTGGAAAGGGATATGGATATATGGGTCTGAAGCTCATGTTAGAAACAATGTTGTGACTCATAAATACATGAAATTTCCAGCAACAGAAGAAGATGACAAACAAAACAGGAATGTTGAAAATAAGATAGGCCCTACAAAGAGCTCTAAAGAACAACATTTAAATTAAGGGTCTCAAACTTTCAGTGATCACAAACTCAAAGAAGGCACATCTCCAGTTCTGATAAAGTGCACACTTACACAAAAATGTGCCTATGGCTTTAGGAAAAGGCACAGATCTCTTGAAGTTCATCAGCTTAAAATACCCAGACTAAAGTGAGACTAGGACACACTGAAGAAAGAATAGCCAGAAATATTAGAAAAGAGTTGCCATGGGGCCGGCGCCACGGCTCACTAGGCTAATCCTCCGCCTGCAGCGCCAGAACCCCGGGTTCTAGTCCCAGTCAGGGCGCCAGATTCTGTCCCGGTTGCTCTTCTTCCAGTCCAGCTCTCTGCTGTGGCCCGGGAGGGCAGTGGAGGATGGCCCAAGTGTTTGGGCCCTGTACCCACATGGGAGACCAGGAGGAAGCACCTGGCTCTTGGCTTCAGATCGGCGCAGCGCGCCAGCCGCAACGCGCCAGCCATAGCGGCCACTTGGTGGGGGTGAACCAACAGAAAAAGGAAGACCTTTCTCTCTGTCTCTCTCTCACTGTCTAACTCTGCCTGTCAAAAAAAAAAAAAAAAAGGCAAAGAAAAAAAAGAGAGTTGCGAGAAAAGGGCTACTGTGGGATGGAGAATAAGTATGACTGACAGGAAGTAAGCAAGAAGAAAATTAGAGTGCCAGACCCCATAGGACCTCACATACCAGGGGAAGAATTTTGGACTGATCGTAAGAGAAATACACACATTGAAAAGTTTATGGGAAGGGCTGGTGCTATGGCGTAGAAGTGAAAGCCGCCACCTGCAGTGCCGACATCCCATATGGATGCCAGTTCAAGACCCGGCTGCTCCATTTCTTATCCAGCTCTCTGCTATGGCCTGGGAAAGCAGTAGAAGATGGCCCAAGTTCTTGGGTCCCTGCACCCACGTGGGAGACCCAGAAGAAGCTCCTGGCTCCTGGCTCCTGGCTTTGAATCAGCACAGGTCCAGCCGTTGCAGCCAATTGGGGAGTGAACGAGCAGATGGAAGACCTCTCTCCCTCTCTGCCTCTCCTTCTCTCTCTATGTATCTCTGACTTTCAAGTAAATAAATAAATCTTTAAAAAAAATAGAAAAGTTCAGGGGTGATTTTTGTTGTCTGCTGGATGATGAGCAGAAAACAACATGGCACATCATGACCGTTGGGGTGCGTTCACCGGGAGCACACACACAATGCACACTGAATAACCAATCGCTGTCTCCCCCCTCATTGACATTGCTTCTTCTCTTTCTTGTCATCACTTCAGATAGTCTACATAGCAAGGAATGCAAGGACACCATGGTGCCCTACTTCTATTTTCAAAGGACAAAGAATTCCCTGACCCAGGAAGCTGGGAGGAGTATTTTGAGACATTCCTGGCAGGGAAAGGTGAGCCCCAGGGAGGGAGCCAGTCTTCTGTGTCTGCATAAAAGTCTCCTGTAAAATTCTCCCCAGGACAGAGTCCGATCAACTGGGAGGGGAGGAGTAGAGGCAACATCCTGTGAGATGTGGCACAGCCCTGGCTGCCTGTCATCTGCAGTCAGTGCATTTATATCCTGTTGCAATGCATCCGCTGAACAAAGTCCAAACAGTGCTGTGGGGAAGCCAGCAACTGTAAGAGAAGCTCCCAAGTCTTAAGTCTAGGCTGAATGTCCAATGCATAAACTTGTTTCATTTTCAGGACAAGCCATAAGCTTGGGAACATTACCAATCATTTATAGGTGATGACAATGAGGTTTAGTGAGTTTGAGTAACTTGCTTAGTGTCGCTACCCCTCTTCGTGGAGGAGCGACACTGAACCCTGCCTAGGCTTCATATCCGAGTCACGGCACCATTATGTCGCTCCCCGTCTTTGTGGAGGAACGACACAGGACCCTGCGTTGTTCTTTCGTCCGCTCGGCCCTCCCCGGGTTTGCTGCTGGTTCTTCCCGGGTTGGCTACCGTCCCTTCCACCTCCGTGGAAGGGCGGTTCCCCCTAGCCACTTTCCCCACTTCCGCGGGGGAGCAGCACACCGCCGGCCGGCTCTCTCGGGGGCTGCACAGGTGTTCCTTCAGATAGATGTTCCCCTTAGATGTTCCTGGTGCATGTTGTCTCTCTCCTCCTTTATAGTCCTCTTCCACCAATCCCAACTCTGCTACCCACACGCTGAGTACGCTGCTCTCCTCCAATCAGGAGCAGGTCCTGCTGTTTATTGGTTGAACTGGAGGCAGCTGTGTAGAAGCTGTTTCTCCCTTCTCAGCGCCATATTGTGGGAGAGCAGATGCATAGAATAAGTCTTAATTCCAGTAACTTAGTCTAGTCCGGGTTGCTCCCCACACTTAGGATGAATCTCCCAGTAAGTATAGGGACTGGCATCCATACACAGGCATGTCTGGTATGCTCACGCGCTATATTCATGGGTCTCATGTTAAAGTCTTCCCAGTGGCCTACATGTTCAACTGCAGAGAAACAAACATTTTGGCGTATGCACAAGTTTTCCAACCGGGTCCTGGGACATTCGGTGATCACAAACTGTCACATGCGGAAGTGGATAGACAGCCTTGCAGCCATGTACCCGGTGTCCAAACCAAGTCACTACAAGTTTCTTGATGTTTTCCTAAGTCCCAAATACTGCTAGAGCTTGTAGTACATCAGCCGCTCTCCTACAGAAGACTAAAGGGTATTAAATAGTACATTATTAAAGCTGGGTAACATGTCCAGGAAGCTCATTATACTATTCCCTCCACTCTTCTGAATATCTGAGCACTTTTGTAATTAAAAGACTTTTCAAAGTTTTTTTTTTTATTTAAGATTTATTTGAAATGCAAAGTTACAGAGAGAGAGGGAGAGACAAAGAGATAGAGATGTCTTCCATCTGCTGGTTGACTCCCCAAATGGCCACAATGACCAGGGCTGAGCCATACTGGATCCAGGAACCAGGAACTCCATCCAGGTCTCCCACATGGATGGCAGGGGTCCCAGTACTTGGGCCATCTTCCCCTACCTTCCCGAGTGCGTTAGCAGGGAAATTAATTGCAAGTGGAGCAGCTGGCACTCAGACTGGTACCCATACGGGATATCAGGGTCACAGGCAGCTGCTTAACCCACTATGCCACAATGCCGGCCCCCCAGAATTTTTTAAAAGGTCACTTAAATAAACCTTTTCAAGGTTATAACTGGAGACACACAAGATAAATACAATATCAAATTGGTTTGCAGTGTAAAAACTGAACTGGTAGATGTGCACAATCATACTAAAACATTTGCAGCAAAATACTAACTATTCAAGTTCAAGTGTGTAACTCTTCTGCTTCTTCCTTGCTCTTCCCTAGCTGTGCCATCAGACTTTCAGCTTGCTAAACACACCCACCACTTCCTCTCTCATCCTGATCTACTCTTTCTGCTATGACAATACTACATATTTCTCATTTGTCTCCCCCACAAGATGTAAGTCCTTGAGTAAGGTTTCCTTCCTGCACTTGCTAACACCCAGAACAGTGCTGAGCACACAGAGGGTCTTGTGGAATAAATTACAACCTACTACCTGTCTCTTCACTCCATGTGTAAAGTAACCGGTGTAGTCCCAGGCTGGTCGGCACCCCCAGCTGATGATTCAAGTCTCCAGCCCACTAACAGCCTTGGATAACCATGGCTTCCTTTCCTCTCTCCCCTCAGACAGAACGTGTGGCTCCTTTCCTTCCAGCTGTGCAGGTTGGGTCAAAAAACCAAGTTTATTTCAGTACAAAAATTTTTCCTGAAACCCATGCATATTTTTGCATGATATGCATTTTCTACATTATGGGGAAAAATTGTTTAACATCAAAAAAAAAAAAAAAAAACGGGGGAGCCAGCATTGTGGCATAGTAGGTAACATGGCCGCCTGCGAGGCTGGCATTCCATATGGACATTGGTTGGTGTCCTGGCTGCTCCACCTCTGATCCAGCTCCCTGCAAATAGCCTGGGAAATGCAATAGAAGATGGTCCAAGTGCTTGGGCCCCTGCAACCCACAAGGGAGACCTGGATGAAGCTCCTGGCTCCTGACTCTTTATAAAGGTTTATTTACTTATTTGAAAGTCGGAGTTACAGAGAGAGAGAGAGCTGATTTACTCCCCAAGTGCTGCAATGGCCAAGGCTGGATCAGGCCAAAGCCAGGAGACTGAAACTCCATGTGAGTCTCCCAGGTAGGTGGCAGGGACCTGGCTGGACCATCTTCTGCTGCTTTTCCAAGTGCACTAGCTGGATCAGAAGCTGAGCAGCAAGAACTCGACTGGCACGCATATGGGATGATGGCCTCACCTGCAGTGGCGTAACCATCTATGCCACAATGCCTTCACCCCTAATAGACCTATATTTTTTAAAGATTTATTTATTTGAAAGAGTTACATACAGAGAGGAGAGGGAGGGAGGGAGGGAGGGAGGAAAGGAGAGAGAGAGAGAGAGAGAGAGAGGTCTTCCATCCACTGGTTCATTCCCCAATTGGCCGCAACAGCCAGAACTGTGCCGATCCTAAGCCAGGAGCCAGAAGCTTTTTCTGGGTCTCTCACGTGGGTGCAGGAGCCCAAGGATTTGGACCATCTTCCACTGCTTTCCCCGGCCATAGCAGAGAGCTGGATCGGAAGAGGAGCAGTCGGGACTGGAACCAGTGCCCATATGGGATGCCAGCGCTTCAGGCTAGGGCATTAATGCGCTGCACCACAGCACCGGCCCCAAACCTATACTTTTAATTCCATCTTATGTGGACTTTATGGAGTGCCTTCAGGCTTCATATCTAGCAGCTATGAATGCAAGGGAAGTGTAAGCCTCCTAGAAGAGACCCTGCCCTGCACCACCTACAGCACAGAATCAATCACTGTTCCCGTCATCTCACTTGACAAGGTCGTGTTTACTGGCCTGCCATTCAGAGATCCACGCACAGTAATAAACATCATTTTCAAATGGCTGTGAACTGTTAACTTAGTTTAAAATGTCATCGTCATGGTCATGCTCAGCTCCTTGGTTTTTGGGTGTTTGTTTGCTTGCTTGCTTTGTTTACCATATGGTAACCACAGTCCTGTTTGCTCAGTTCCTTAAGGTTTGGCTAAGGAGCTCTCTTGTCCTTGCTCTTCCCCACAGGATCCAAAAGATGGAATCAGAAAGATGACAGAATTCCTGGAGAAAACCCTAAAGGAAGAGGATTTAAACAGAATTGTCTATAATACTTCATTTGGTGTAATGAAAACGAACCCCATGACCGACTGCGTAAGTGATGTTGAAACGGATCATAAGCTTTTGCCATTCATAAGGTGATGTGTGAGTGCCCTTTGACTCTTCTATGATATCAGAAAAACTGCCAATTCATCCATGTCTTGCTTTTTTTTTTTAATTTATTTATTTATTTGAAAGAGTTACAGAGAGAGAGGAGAGGCAGAGAGAGAGAAAGAGGTCTTCCATCCACTGATTCACTCCACAATTGGCTGCAATGGCCGGAGCTGTGCCAATCCAACGTGGGTGCAGGGGCCCAAGCACTTGAGCCATCTTCTACTGCTTTCCCAGGCCATAGCAGAGAGCTGGATTGGAAGTGGAGCAGCTGGGTCTCGAACCAGCGTCCTTATGGGATGCCGGCGCTTCAGGCCAGGGCGTTAACCCGCTGCGCCCCAGCGCCTGCCCCTATCCATGGCTTTCTAATCTCCAAGCAGCAGCTGGTTCTTTACAGCCTTCTTCCAGAACTTGTGCTCCACAAGCTGCCCTCTGGGAAATGTGTTCCCTTTCCTGAGGAGAAATTTAACAGTGGCTTCAAAACCGTACTTGACCACAAAGCTCATTACCCTTTACCAAGCGAGGGTTCCCCCAAACACATTCTGGAAGACAGCGGTGAAGGTCACTGGCCGTAAGAGCCAGAAGAGTGGGATCTGAGAGGTGGCTCAGTCGCATCATCCCAACAGTGGCCACGGAACACCCTGAATCACTGGAGCCCAGCCAGACCAGAACCTTCCGTCTCCAGCCAGCACACGCCCTATGCAACCACATTGCTAGCTCCTTAAATGGAGGTAAAATTTGTTGAGCTGTAACTATTTTAGGAAATTTAAAAATATATCCTCATACCTTTTTAAATAAAATAGGCAACAACCTAAAACTCAAAGGTGAGCCTCTCTAATGGAATCATTGATTGACCTAATTTTCCTTTAAGCCAAATGATAAATGATATTGTATTATTTCTAGGCAATTAAGCAAATTGACATTTTGCACATGAAAATAACATCATTTAGCTCAGAGAGCCTAAATGAATCCAATACTATGGAGCAAACAGAGAGAAATATCTTGCTATGAGCTCCCTGACCATTTTTGACTATTGAAACTAAAAGCTAAAAAATAAAAATACTCAATTACATAAGTAAAGAAGGCAAAATATGCCCCCCCTTAAAGTACTGAGGCTTGTTGAGCTGAAGACATTTAAAAAATTGGTCCGTTTTCCGCCTTTCCCTCTGTTTGCCTGACTTCAGGACAGAGATCCACATAGACAAGAGGTCTCTCCGCCCCTTGGATCCCATTCCCACCTAAAGCCAGAGACGTGCATCTTAGAAATCTTAGAAATGCGCATTATGAAAAACAAGGCACAGATTTCAAAATTTTTGCACCAAAATAAACTTATCTTTAAAAAAAAGATTTATTTATGGGGGGCTAGCACTGTGGCGCAGTGGGTTAAAGCCCCGGCCTGCAGCACCGGCATCCCATATGGGCACAGGTTTGAGTCCCAGCTGCTCCACTTCTGATCCAGCTCCCTGCTATGGCCTGGGAAAGCAGTAGAAGATGGCCCAAGTACTTGGGCCCCTGCACCCACGTAGGAGACCCGGAAGAAGCTCCTGGCTCCCAGATTCAGATCGGCCCAGCTCTGGCTGTTGCAGCCATTTGGGAAATAAAACAGCAAATGAAGATCTCTCTCTCTCTCTCTCTCTTTCTCTCCCACTCTCTGTCTGTAACTCTGCCTCTCAAGTAAATAAGTAAATCTTTAAATTAAAAAAAAAAAGCAGTATAAAGCAAAGTTAGTCAACCCTACTGTTTCTTCATATTCTATTCCTTTTATTTAATTATGTTAACAGCCATGGGAATTTAGATCAAAAGAAGAATTCTCAGTAGTGTTCAACTAGACCTTTGCCTGAACTAGAAACATGAGTAGCAGCAAGTGAGGCTCTGAGGATGGGCCCTTCAGTGACTTCAGGGAAGTGGGTCAGAAAACTGACTGCAGCTACCTTGAACAGTGCTAGACTGAACAGTGCTGAGGTTGGGACATTCCGGCAGCTCAGAGAGGCGTGAGTGCGGTGCACAGAACCGGAGCCCTTCCTGAGTGTTTCAGAACAAGGCCATCTGTTCACAAAGAGCTTACCTAACCACACCCATGCCTGCTAGTCTCGCTTTAATGTCAGGACAATGCGTTAATATCTACGTCAGCGATTTAAGTATTGAGAGGTACGAGATTATCGCAACCCAAAATGGGGTGCTAGGATGTGGCAGATGATGGCTTAAGTACTTAGGTCACTGCCATCCACATGGGAGACTCAGATTGAGTTCTGGGCTCCCAGCTTCAGCCTTGCCCAGCCCCAGCTGTAGTGGAGATTCAGGGAGTGAATGAGTATATGGAAGGCTTTTCTACCTCTATTTCAAATAAAATGAAAATAAACAAATAAAATAAAATCCCAAATGGGTCAAAGTTCATGAAAATGTCAATGTTCTGGCAGGAGTTGTGGGAGATTGGACAAAACCACTTCACTGAAGCTCAGAACAGGAAGTTTAAGGAAGGCTATGAGAAACACATGGCTGAGACCTCGCTGTCTTTCTGCATGGAGCTCTGAAAGGCAGCAAGAGCATGGGGCTGCTCCCTCACCAGCAGGGTAACATGGGCCTGGACATTCTGTGACCTTGCCAGTTTTGGGTTTTTTTGTTGTTGTTGTTTTTTTGTTTGTTTGTTTGTTTTTGTTTTGTTTTGTTTTGTTTTTTGACAGGCAGTTAGACAGTGAGAGAGAGAGACAAAGGTCTTCCTTCCATTGGTTCATCCCCCAAATGGCTGCTACAGCTGGCGCACTGCGCCAATCCAAAGCCAGGAGCCAGGTGCTTCCTCCTGGTCTCCCATGGGGTGCAGGGCCCGAGCACTTGGGCCATCCTCCACTGCACTCCCAGGCCACAGCAGAGAGCTGGCCTGGAAGAGGGGCAACCGGGACAGAATCCGGCGCCCCGACCGGGACTAGAACCTGGTGTGCCAGCACCGCAAGGCGGAGGATTAGCCTAGTGAGCCGCGGCACCGGCTATATGCATGGATTTCAAAAAGTTTTCCACCACAAAAACTTCTGGGGCGGGCGTCATGGCTCACTTGGTTAATCTTCCGCCTGTGGTGCCAGCACCCTGGTTTCTAGTCCCAATTCCAGTTCAGATCTCTGCTGTGGCCTGGGAGTGCAGTGGAGGATGGCCCAAGTGCTTGGGTCCTGCACCCACATGGGAGACCAGGAGGAAGCACCTGGCTCCTGGCTTCGGATCAGCGAAGCTCCGGCCGTAGCGGCCATTTGAGGGGTGAGCCAATGGAAGGAAGACCTTTCTGTCTCTCTCTCTCTCTAACTCTGCCTGTCAAATAAAAAAAAAATAAAAATAAAAAAATTTTTAAAAAAACTCCTTCTCATACCATTTTCCACAAACTGAAAGATCCTCCAAGCTCTATTACACCTTCTATTTCCTCTATGATGAAAACACCAGGGACTCTTTCCATAACAGGTGCCGGTCACAGCTGAATGAATAAACTCAGAGGTAATCTCTTAAACTGAGGCAGCAAGGACGTAGCCCCGCATTCTCGGGCCGGCTTGGTCCCACGACCTGAATTCTTCTCCACTCCAATCCGTGGTAAAATTTTTCCAACCAGCTGCAGAGAGGAAGGCCCACTGAGGTTGAAAAGCCCATGAAAAGCCAGCTCAGCTTACCTAGCTTATGCTGCATAGACCCAGCCTGTAACTAAATTCTTGCTCTCAGCCATGTGCTCACTCTGTGTGCACGAGGACAGTCAGCCACCTCTGTGAACTTATTTTCCCTTGATTAAATTCGTTTTGCCTGTGAGTTTGTATCCTGTTTCCTCTCTGTTCTGCCTCTTACCTTTGGTGGCCCGTATGGGGAAGGTTGTGGGAGACCAGTTCCTTGCCCACTGTGGCTCCTCAGAAACTGGTTGTTCATTCATTCTCTGAGTTAGAGCCATGACCCCCAGCCCCTGCCAGGACTTTCTTCTTCTTTCTGTAGCAAAACTGCCCTGGTCAGTCAATTGCTCACTCTCTCCCAAAATTCACAGCCAGAGCCTTTTGCCAGATCTCACCACGGCATGCAACACTGAACCTGAATCTCAGCCCATTGGATTAGTTAGAGAGGCCTCTGTTGTACGGGAAAATGGCGGCACAGAAATTATTATTATTACCTTGGTTCCTTGTCTCACATGGAAGAAGAATTTCCAAGCGGACAAGGCAAAGAGAAAAGGGAGATTTAAAGGTTTAAAAGTTGGGACTGGTGCTGTGGCATAGTGGGTAAAGCCACCTCCTGTAGTGCTGGCATCCCATATGGGCACCAGTTTGAGACCCAGCTGCTCCACTTCCAATCCAGCTCTCTGTTGTGGCCTGGGAAAGCAGTGGAAGATGGCCCAGGTCCTTGGGCCCCTGCACCCATGTGGGAGACCCAGAAGAAGCTCCTGGCTCCTGGCTTCAGATTGGCACAGCTCCAGGTGTTGCAGCCAATTGGGGAATGAACCAGTGGATGGAAGACCTCTCTCTCTCTGCCTCTCCTCTCTCTGTGCAACTGTGACTTCTGCCTCTCCTTCTCTCTGTGTGCAACAGTGACTTTCAAGTAAAACAAAATAAATCTTTTATATATATATAAAAAAAAAGGTTTAAAGGCAAGATTTATTAGAGTCAAAGTCCTCCAGCCAGGTGGCATGGAGGGGGTTGCAGGAGACTCCAATCCCAGAGGATTCAATGGCACTGAGGTTTTCAAGCACAATTTCAGGGCTGAAATTGTCCTTCAATAAGATGTGGGCAATCCCAACAACAGACCTTATAACCCTTTATCCTGTCTGCATCACAAGGCTGAGATACTAACCTGTTTTCATAATAAACTGTGAACTCAGGAAGGTGTAATCACCACTCCCTTGCTATTCTCACGGTAAATTTGGAGGTTCTGAAGGAAGGAGGGTGGACATTCTGTTCTTGCTTCTCCTTTTTTGGGAGAAGCAAGCATTTTACACCCCGAATTCCACTGGGACCACCCTGGCTGCCTAGCAACCCATCTGACTCCTCACACTGTCACCTCGAGCACCCTGGCTCCCCTTCCCTCATAGGGCCTGGGATGTTCTGCCGGTTCCCCCCACTCCGACCTTTACATCTGGGAGGTGTGGGGAAAGTTCACCTGCCAGGGCTTAGCACTGGGAAGCTGGTCTCAGCGTGGGGATCCTCTCTCCTCTAAGAGGACTCAGAACTTGGGTTCTCCAATCCAGCGCTGTGGTGTAGTGGGTGAAGGCACTGCCTGCAGCACCAGCGTCCCATATAGGTTTGAGTCTCAGCTGCTCCACTTCTGATCCAGCTTTCTGCTCATGAACCTGGGAAAGAAGCAGAGGATGGCCCAAACGCTTGGGTCCCTGCACCTACATGGGCAATCAAAAGATGCTCCTGGTTTGAGGCTTCAGCCCAGCTCAGCCTGAGATGTTGCAGCCATTTGGGGAGTGAACCAGTGGATAGAAGATCTCTCTCTCTCTCTGTCCTTCAAATAAAGAACAAATCTTAAAAAAAAAAAAAAAAAAAGAACTTGGGTTTCAGTTGGGGTGACTGCTTCTCAAGGGACATGTGTGAAAGTGCCCCCTTCCCCCAGGCCGTATTTTGCTTAAATCCATAGATTCAAAATTTGCCCACATCTCACCGGACCCCCTCCGGTCTGTCTTTAAAAATTTGCACAAGTTGGACCTAAGGGGGGATATAAAGCCAAAGTGATCAGTTTTCTTCTGCACTAAAAGTTTGGCTTGAATATGAATTGGATTATGACTCTAATACTTTGAATTAGAAGCAAGTAAAAGGGGACGGTGCTGTGGCGCAGTGGGTAAAGCCGCCGCCTGCAGTGCCGGCATCCGATATGGGCACTGGTTCAAGACCCGGCTGTTCCACTTCCAATCCAGCTCTCTGCTATGGCCTGGGAAAGCAGTAGAAGATGGCCCAAGTCCTTGGGTCCCTGCACCTATGTGAGGGACCTGGAAGAAGCTCCTGGCTCATGGCTCCTGGCTTCGGATCAATGCAGCTCCGACCGTTGCAGCCAATTGGGGAGTGAAGCAGTAGATGGAAGACCTCTTTGCCTCTCCTCTCTCTATGTGTAACTCTGATTTTCAAATAAATAAAATAGATCTTTTTAAAAAAAAAAGCAAATAAAAAGAATAGAATTTTCTCTGAAATATCCATTTTCTCCTGCGAGAGACAGTTACATCAGTGTCTCTGGTATGTCCCCTAGAAACAGGGCCTGAGACAGGAATTGACAGACATTGTGGTTAACCAAGGAGGGAGATAAGCAGGATGGGGAAGAGAAAACAAAAGCCCAAATAGGATTTCTGAAAAATTGGGGGTGGGGGCTGCGGAAGCTCTCCTTCCTTGAGACAAAAAAGGTCTGGGCCGGTGCCCAACCAGTGCAGGAAGGAAGGAATTAAGAGTTTAACACCTGGGCATCATGAAGCAAAGTTACACAAGTGTGTGAACCGAGCTCTGGCAGGTGCTCTGTGGTCGCTGGCGGAGGAGGACAATGCCCTGGCCAGGTAGCACACCCTAGGGGACCTCGGGCAGGGCACCAGCTCCTGCTGTGATCAGGCATTCCCAAAGAAAATGAAGTGTAAGGAAGAACTGTAAGCAGAGAAGATTACATTAGCAAACAAGAAAAGAAACTGGACTCCCCACACCACCTCAACCTGTAATTATGAGCACAATAACCCAGCTGCAGGGAATGGATATTGAATGAGGTGAGTGAGAGTGTAAGCTTCAGGCCTCAAGTGCTATCAGTCCTCAACTTCAGGGGCTTGTACCTGTACCTGCAGTCACTGGCAATGCCCAACTGTGAGTTCATCCCCCCACCCCCGGACTGGCCTGAGCAACCACAGAAATTGCAGAAGAAAAAAAAACAGTGCTCTACCGAGACTCATGGAATTCTCTCCTGCCACAGGTCTGTTTCCCAATCTCTCCCACAGCAAATGTCTCCTTCGCTTGCCAGGAGTCATGCCAGCTTCCAGGAAGCCAATTTCTCCACCAGCCCTGGCAACCGTCCTCTCGTGTAAGGCACAATCCTACGTGATATCTAAAGTCCACGTGTGAGCAGTTGTACAATACTATTGTGTGACTCAGGAAAAGTTCAAAAGGCATACTGTGAGGGAGGAGACGTAATTGCAACCAACACAAAAGCTAAGAGCAGTTCATGTGGTTAGCCAAAACCTAATGTGTGCATGTGAACAAGGAGCATAACCCGCTTCAGTGTTGTCTTGGCAACTGTGGTTTCAGGAAGAGGATGGAAGGAGCCAGAGACAGCAAGATCCCACAGGGAAGCAGGTGCCCCCTATGGTAGAGGGGACGCTCCCACCCAGCCCACATTGGAATCACCAACAGTCTGGACCCTGTCCCCCAGCATGTGAGCCTGCTGACCCGCAGAGTTGAGAAGCAGCATAGTCAGGACTCCCAATTTGTAGCAGCCCAGGGCCAGGATTCCAACAGAGCAACAGCCTCTGGAGCTCCCTGGGCTCCTGCTGGAGGTGGAGCCGATGCCCAGCAGGTGCTAACTAGTCCACTTGGCTCACATCCTGCCTTACCCTCCACAGGCAACACAGCTGTCACCTACAACAGGACATGCCACTCTCACCTTAGAGTGTGTGATTGGAATGCAGACTACGTACTGAAAGACAAATTCTAGCAGTACCAGGGAAAGAAGGGATGCACAGATGTGGGCATTTGGCACAGAAGTTCAGACTCCACTTGAGATGCCCGCATATCATATAGGGGTACCTGGATTTCAGTCCTTGTTCAGCTTCCAATTCCAGCCTCCCGTTGTGATGCAGCAGTAATGGCTCAAGTGGTTGGGTCCCTGCTATCCACGTGAGAGACCATGGGAGGGGGCTGGCACTGTGCCACAGTGAGCTAAGCTGCTGCCTGCAGTGCTGGCTCCTATATGGGCACTGGTTCAACCCCCGGCTGCTCCACATCGGATCCAACTCCCTGCTAATGCACCTGAGAAAGCAGCAGAGGATGGCTCTAGAACCCGGGCCCCTGCACCCATGTGAGAGACCTAGATGAAGCTCCTAGCTGCTGGCTTCAGCTTGACTTGGCTCTGGCTGTTGTGGCCACTTTGGGTGTGAACCAGCAAATGGAAGATTTCTCTCTCTGCCTCTATCTCCTTGTCTCTGTCACTCTGCCTTTCGAATAAATAAAATAAATCTTTTAAAAGGCGGGGGTGGGGAGAAAGTGAGAGAGAGAGAGAGAGAGAGAGAGAGAGAGAGAGAGAGAGAAATATGCATGGGAGACTCCTGGCTATTACAGGGATTTGAGGAGTTAACCAGCAGACGAAACATATATATATATATATATATATATATATATATATATATATATATCTCCCTCTCTCCCTCTCTTTCTCTCTTTCTCATAAATAAATGAATAAATAAGAGAATGCTCAGCCTTGGAGCTAATGAGTTGTACCAGACAATAGAGGCCAATTTTTGAAAGATAATCCTCAGATTCATAAAATCAGCCATTACAGAATTATTTTATTTCAGATTTTTGTTTCCATTTAATGAAGTCATGATTGAAATGTTTAAAACTTTTTCATCTAACATTAGGGAAAATCAAGTCAGTATAATAGCAAGAAAAAGTCCCAGAGTCTGAGGGAATGGTAAACAATGATGGAGAAAGTACTGAAGGATCTGTCCAGCCAAAAGGGACTCCTCTCGCTCGCTCTCTCTCTCTCTCTGTCTCTCACACACACACACACACACTGCAAGATCTTCTTGCTGGCCTTGTACAAAGACTTTGCTGTTCTCAAATATGTGTTGAAGTGTGTTTTCCAAATACAATAATGGATTTGAAATTATTAACCTTATATAACATCATGAAAAACTGCATGATTTCAGTTTCTTTTGTGCCTCAATAAACCAATTTAATCCCACATTCCACAAACTTTTTCAAGCACCCTCATTTCGAAAACCCTAAAAATTCTACCAAAAACCTATTATAACTAATAAATTAGTATAGTAAATGCACAAGAGTTTGAAAAGTCATCATACAGAAATCAATACCATTTCTATATACTAACAGTAAACTTTCCAAAAAACTAAATCAAGGAAGCAATCACATTAAAATAACTAAAAAAATTAAGTAAATAAATAAAATATCGAGAGATCCAAGATGGCAGAATAGGAAGGAAGCTTCCTGCTCTAGTCTAGGGGATGACAGTTTTTAAAAAGTGGAGAGACAAACGGCAGAGTTAGAAACATACCAGGGGATTCCAATTCAATCCCATCAAGGTGGCATGTACCAATGCCATCTCACTAGTCCCAGTGATCAATTTCTGTTCACAATTGATCATAATGATAGGACTAAGAACCAAAGGTATCACACAAACAAGACTAGTGTCTGCAAATACTAGCTGATAGAATAAAAAAGGGAGAGAACGATCCAACATGGGAAACGAGATACACAGCAGACCCATAGAATGGCAGATGTCCTAAACAGCACTCTGGCCTCAGAATCAGCCCTTAAGGCACGCGGATCTGGCTGAAAAGCCCATGAGAGTATTACAGACATGGAAAGCCAAGTACTGTGGCAAAAAAAAAAAAAAAGACCTAAATGAAAGATTTCCGGATGTGAGATCCCAGTGGAAAGAACAGGTCATCAAAGAAGGAGGTACCTTTCTCTGAAGGGAGGAGAGAACTTCCACTTTGACTACGACCTTGTCTAAATATGATCAGAGTCGGTGAACTCAAAAGGCTTCCATAGCCTTGGCAACTCATGACAAGAGCCTAGGGTGATTACTGATGCCATAAACAAGAGTATCAGTTTGTTAAGTCAACAACAGGAGTCACTGTGCACTTACTCCTCATGTAGGATCTCAGTCCTTAATGTGCTGTACATTGTGATTTAATGCTATAACTAGTACTCAAACAGTATTTTTCACTTTGTGTTTCTATGTGGGTGCAAACTGTTGAAATCTTTACTTAATATATAATAATAAACTGATCTTCTGTATATAAAGAGAATTGAAAATGAATCTTGATGTGAATGGAAGGGGAGAGGGAGAGGGAAAGGGGAGGGTTGTGGGTGGGAGGGAAGTTATGGGGGGGAAGCCATTGTAATCCATAAGCTGTACTTTGGAAATTTATATTCATTAAATAAAAGTTAAAAAAAAAAGTGGAGAGAGTGCAGTCTCAGGGAAGAGTCAGGCAGAAAATGACAGAGGAAACTGCACTCAAATGAGAGGGACACTGTGGACCTACGTGGAGGGTATAGGTGTGCATAACTCAGGACCCAGCAGCTGAGAGCCTCAGCACCAGCTTTGGAGAGTGAGGTGAAACCAGACCACAGCAGC